CATGTGAGGGGTTGCTCAGAGCAGAATGAGTTATCAATACCGCACGGTGGTGTTGCTCAGACGTGTTTTACCAACAGTCTGCTAAGCCGAGTTTCCCAGTTTCACTGTCAAACACTGTGTCGTTTCACAGTTTAGCATCTTGGACAGATATGGTAGGTCAGTGTTTCACATCTCAAGTCCTCAAGGAGCACTGACCCGCATCCTTGCCAGGTTTTCCCGGAATGGGTCAGGTCTTCATTTCTTCAAGCTGATGGATTTTGCTTTGGATTATGATTGTATTCTCGTGAATTGGATTCTAATTGGCTTGAATTTGACTGTGTCTTTGAATTGCGATGACATTCGTTGGGGTTTGATTTAAAGTGGAAAAGTGAGATTAGTAGACAAAATGATATGGAGCCAATGATGGTATATTTTTTAACGTTTTAAAAGCTAAATAGATCAAAATAAAAACATTCACCATAAGATGCACATTCAAAAGTCTGAGTCTGAGTGTTATGTTTTTGTTGAACCTCAAACAAATCCAATCTCAATCGCCCCCTCGATTTTGTTCCTGGAAAATCTGATAGAAACTTGCTGGTCAACCTCAGGATATTGTAGCTATTGAAAACGTCCGATCAATGAGATGGCAGAAAATCATTGGACTCTAAAAGTCAGCACTAAAATCTTAAAATCAATCTGGAAAGTGACAGGGAGCCACTAAAGAGACGCCAAGCCTGGAGGTGTTTGATCATGCCTTCCTCAAACCAGCTGAAAGAAAAGCTGCAGCTCTGTGTTTTAACCATGCAATTACCAGTCTGCTGGTCCCAGTTTGGTTAGAGAATCCAGCTTTAATATGGAGCTGTGCTCTTCTCTGTTACGGACATCTTGGAGGGTATATACTAATTTATAAGTATTTTTTCAATTTTAGTAAATAACTGATCAGCATTAGAAAGAAAGAAGTTCCTAAAACCACAATTTCCAACAAAAAAGACGGATTTTGTAAATAAACTATACAAATGACAGAACTACATTTGAATTTAGTAATTCTTGATATTACACGCACTTGATTCCCAAAGATAATTTGTTGACATTTAGTCTGAGTCGACCTTTTATTTCTATGCATTCTTTAAACGAAGATAGAATCCCGGTGGCCTCTCAGGATGTATTGAGCATGTTCATCACTGCGCTACAGTACGAGTGACATCAGACAACAAACATAAAACCCCCTCCTAATTAACCAGCAGCAACAGTCATTAGATTAGTGGCGAAAATGGCTGCTCCGGCCCATTGTGAGTGCCGGTCTGCGTGTCTAATGACCCACTCGTCTACAGTCAGAGGGAGGCTGCATCCATCTTAGCAATTGTGCCTAATGAGATATCGATCACAAACATGCAGCTCTATCAATATTACCATAGATTCCCTGCACACACAGCTTGTACATTGCGTTGGTATGTACAGTGTATGTAGGCCCGGTAGACTGCAAATGATTCAGTTAATGACCCTAAAAACACAGCATGTCACTATCTGCTGATTATTCACCGTTTCTTTTCTTTTGCTTCCTGCTCTGCCCACACACACACGCACACACTCACAAAATGCTACAGCTTGAGTCAGAAAACTGAACAACGGTCTCAGAAAATCGTATTTTTTTTCAGTCAATCCCTCACTTTGGAGATTTAAAAGACCGATTCTTTAGGTCTGCGTAAATCTTAAATCTGTGTCCACATGTGAACGAGGAGCTCAGTGGGCGTCTTTACACTACAGCTGATACAATAGGATTATCCAGATGCAATGATGGGCATCTGGTCTTGCTGTGTTCTCTGCTCTAAGAATACCAATTAGAGGATGAGAGGAACGAGTTAAATAGCTCCTCATATGCTAACCGTCATTTTTCTTTCCTTGCCTCCTGTTGGAGTTTGCATTTTAATAGGCACTAACAATTACAACATTGAGAAAAACAAATGCCCTGTGCAGATGACTTAGAATAAAGGTAAAATACAGAGGAAATGATTATACATTATCCATATAGGGTCTGGCTATATTGAGAATATGTGTTAAAACTGGGTTTTTAGGTTCAAATGGAGGTCCGAGTCCCCCAAAAAGGGAATACGTGTCATACTTCACACATGTTTTTATTAGAGCTTGATACTAAAGAATCGTAGGGCCTATTAAACTCAATCAGATTATACTTGTGATTCTTTACCTAAATAGCCTGCTTCCTACAACTGTGAAGGAAATGTGACACAATTTTCCCTAATTATCCTCCACTGTTTCCTTCCATACAAGCAACCCTGATGTGGGCTGTGCTTGTATTTTCCACAACACGTGGTGTTTGCTGGTCCGTCCCCTGTGAGGGGGATTTTAAAATGGCTCCCCCTCTGTTCCCTCCTCCTGTTTTTAAACATGGTGCATCGTAACAACAGCGGCAGTTAGGCAGGGCCTCGAGCTTTATCTGAGGACCTCGGTCATAAGGGATGGAAGGGAAATCTTTATCCGACGCTTGCCTCTCCCACTCTGTTTTTGAGGCCGAATGTGTGTACACGAGTGTGTGAAGGATTATGTGTAAAGGGCTGTGTGCTATTATGCAAATCTAAGCATTCTTGCTGTCTTTGCCGTGGTCCTTTGCCGGGGTGAGTGTCAAGGTGTTTGAGTCTGTGTTTGTGAATGGCTAGGCGTACCCATTTAGTACGTTACTATCAAACCTTGGCAGAGTAGAGACAACAATAAGGAGTCCTTTCATGAGCATCAGAATGAGATACGGGGATTGGCGAACAGGAAACCAAGGTCGTCTTTCTGCTATCCTGCTGTAGAAAAGATTTCTATTTCCACAATACACACATCCGAGGACGCCGAATTAGAGCATGGGAAGAATGCATGACCTAAAAAAGCATCTGATCTGATTGTGTCTTAAGATGGGGTAAAAACATCTCAGAAAAGATAAACCTGAAATATTCCAACGGGTCATGTAAAAGAAAAAATAAGTGCACCCCATGATTCAAAATCTTGTAAGCCCACCCCTATCTGCAGCTGTTTGAGTCGTGTTTTTCTGTTGGATGATGTCAGTCTTTCACATCCCTTGTGGGGGAATGATAGCCCGCTCTTCTTTCTAACACTGTTGGAGTTTAAGGGCCCTCATTGATGCAGCTCTCTTAAAGGTCCAGCCATCTGAGCTTCTACTGAGTAGTTAAAACACAGTCATACTTTTTCTTGTAGATTTGTGCCTGGGATTGTAGTCATGCTGCTTAACCCTATTACAGCCATTCATTAGTCATCAGACACGCGGCCTCATGTTTGCCTAAAAAAAGATTGCCACAATGTTATTATTAGGGATTAGAGGCCGCTTTTTCAAGAGGAAGTTATTTTTTCTAATTGTGCTGTAACATTAAACATGCTAACCAAGGCCTAAGGAGCCAGAAATGTAACTCTTGTTTTTTTTGTTTAGTTTATTTTATTTTTTGTTGTTTCTCCAATCATTGTACAATCTGACCTCTGGGACATCCAATCCTTGTCAACTTTCTCGAATGTTTCCTGTGAATAATCTCTCCGACTACGTATACACACAAGGTCTTGTTATTATTCAGATGAATATAGGTTTTATTTATTTTTTTAGCCCCCCTGGTTGAAAGAGGGGAGTACTTTCCTGTTGACATACCTGTATGCTATGTTTAATTTGATTTCCGCGGGGCACTCCAGCTTCAACAATGCAGCCTACTTAAACTGCTGCTGAGGAGAAGTGAATGTATATCCCCTTACATGGTTAGTATTTTGTTGAATAGGGGCACACACAAAATCACAACTCCCTTTCATATAATTTAGTCGAGTTGCACTTGCCAGAGAAAAGCACTGAAGGAAGAGGAGGCGGCGGCTTCAGCACCATGGACAGGGCTCTGAGAGGATCGCCCCCAGGTCATGTACCTCCAGTTTCTACTGGGGGTAGGGGGGGTGGGGGGGGCTGGGGGTGAGGAAGGCAGGATTGTAGTCAACACTCAGCGGCTTGCTCTTCAGCTAATGAGAGAGGCAAGGGGTCAGCCTGTAACTACACAAAGATAATGACCGTCTCCAGAAACCATGGCAACATCAGCCATCCTGCGCGCCTCCTACCCCCTGGCTGCTCTCTCGTCCTTCGGCGCCCCTACAAAATGATTTTTTTTGCCCAAAAAAAAAAAAAAAAAAAACCCCGCGGAGGTGAATCAATGCGGGACTTTTTTCGACACTTAATAACTGCCCAGGTTCTGCGTCTAGGACCCGCGGAGCCGGGAGGCATGCATAAAACATGGCGCCTCGGCCCGCTCCTGAGAGCACATTAAGCATCATTTCCTGCTGCCATTGTGGATGCAAAAGAAGTGGCAGAATGCAGAGAGCGCAACACCTTCCCCCTAAGAAAGGTAGACTCGTTCCAACTCACGTCAGGGGAAGGAGTGAGAGAAATAGCTAAATGGAGAGGAGCGAGCTGAGGCGAACAGTGATAGAGTCAGAGGTGTCAGCTCTGAAATAGAGAGGAAAGGAACAGGAAAAACACAAAAGAATGCACCAAAAAGTTGTAACGGTGAGAAACAAGATCACTTTCATTAGATTAACATATGCTGATACTTTTCAACTTTGAATACGTGCCTTGGAACATGCGCGTGGACGTGTTTGTGTGTGTGTGTGAGAAACAGGGAGAGCGTTGCCGTTCTTTTGGATATGTCGGATACTTTGGCTCGAACCGCTGACAACATAATTACACACACGGAGGCTGTGGATTAAGATGTAGCTTAGAGTCTGTACGTGTGACAGTATGTGGTTAAGAAGTATGATACGGGGCTCTAGCGCACGCCGCCTAACAGACAAACACACACACACACACACACTCCCGCAATGGCACATTAGCACCACGGACAGCAGCTGACCCCACAGAGAGCCAATTAGAGCTGCTGTGACCAGTCAGCCAGTTAGCCACACACTAAGACCGCTGGGCCGGACGAGGACAGAGCGCCTTTGCTGCAACAGGGTGGAAGAAACACTCGGTTTTAATGAGAAGAATGAGGCAGAGCTTTAATGAGGGATGTGACGGTGTCATTTGGTACTCCACACCCAGTCTGACCATTAAGATCTCTCACGAGTAAGCGCCTTGTCATTTGGAGTAGTTACCTCTCCAAAGTTAGGCTTTGATTGAGAGATAGAATCTGAGTGCGTAGTGCTTTGTTCTGAAGTTTTGCAGTGCTGTTGTGTGGTGTCAGATGTTACCCGCCAGTGTTAGTTGGCTGGGAATTCATTTTTTTTTTTTTTTTGAGGCTGAAATACAGCTTGCAAAAACTAGGAAAGCGGCAATATTCTGGATTCAACAGTTTACTTGAGGATAGGATGGTCACATAATGTTAATATTCACATCCAAACCATAACACTATTGCTACACAGTGATTTTATCATGTAATTTACTCAATCAAACTATCCATCCGTCACTGTTTCTCTTCTTTTTTGCCGTGTCATTTTACCATTTCACCTCATTCAGTGACGGCGGTGTTTGCCTTTCTTTTTTCCAACCGAAACCAACTGTCTTATTTTTCTCGACACCATGCGAATGACCGGTGGGATCCAAAACGAACGCGTACCCTCTCCCTCACGTCGCTGCCGTCTCCCCCTCTGTTCAGATGCTCCCAGAGGAATCGGTGCGAGCGTGCAGACGAGCCGTATCGTTTCACCGCTTCCCTCAGCCAGTGCGTGAAGGCCACCGTCTACCCAGGAAGCATCGCGGTGTCGGAGCCCAGCTTATCCGTAAGTCCACACACACACGTACACACACACATATCCCGCCCGCTGCACAAAATACCGTAATTGTAACCGTTCCTTGTGAACTTGACAATGAAAAAAAAAATAGCTCTGACCCTCCGTTTTTCCTACCCACGTAACTAGAGTCAAAATGGTGTAAATGAACCCACGGAGCAGTTCACCCAGTCTTGATTTGTGGTTGATGCATTAACATTAGGGGAGGGGAGGTTTGTTAGAGCTTTATGTGGGTGTTTTAGGCATACATATGCTCACTTGTTACGGAGCAGTCAATATGTGTGCCAAGACGTGTTTATGTGGGCGGGTGTGTAGGTGTAGAAGTCGTCAGGGTGCAGCAGAGTCCAGTACATTATTTCCAACAAGGGCTGAGCGGAAAAAAAATGGGCCCAGATCATTCCGGAAAGACTCTTCCTGTCCGTGTTGTGATGAGTGCTCCTCATCTACAGCCACACACACACGGATGCATGTTTTGGCACAAAATACCCACCCAGATTGATTTGCTTGCAGTAGGATTTCGGTTTTATTAGAAGTCTTTTCTCATGAATATTTTTGTACAGCTCGCAGCCGTCGATGTGACCTCAAATCACACTGTTAGATTTACGGAAACATTTTCGACTTTCATCAAAATCAACAAAAGTAAATGAAGCAAATTCAGCATAATAAGCTCCCATTACTTGTTTAACTCAGTCTGTCACTTAGTGGGTTTTGTGAGTCGTTTCAGGCATTTAGACTTGAGCTTCAAGCACAAAATTGTCACCAGTCAGCCAATCACAAATAGCATACACTAAAGTCATACATTTTCATTAGAAAAAAACAAATCAATTATCCATTAAACTGTTTTTTGTTTACAAGCTGGCATGTGTGAATGTGCAAATTATTTGGCTGTGAGGTGCCTTTGAGGAAAAGCCAGATTTGTTTTACAGGTTTAAACAAGTTTTCATTTTATACCAGAAATGTTCAATTTGTAGCTATTTAAATAAATTAATTGTAAGTGACCTGCTCTAAGGTCTTCCTGTGTTTTCAGACAGGATAGAGAAATCTGTGTAACCCCACACAGGAGATAAGAAGCCAAAATAAGTTTTATATGTTTGAGCAATTTGTTAAAAGACCCTTTCTGCTGCTCCTTCAGTTTAGATATTCACTTTGAAGAAGGATGCTTCATCTGTAGCTCTGTGATGTAAAATGTCTCTTGAATTACCTTTAGCACGGTATGCTAACAAAGAATCATGACACATGTAGGGGTTTTATTCTGACTGGTTAAAAAAAGTGAGAATAGGCTGGCCTTTGTTGAACTTTTGGACTGACCAAAATGTGCCACAACAGGTGTTAAGGGGTCTTCTAAACATGATCTGGATAGGCCGTTTAACAGTTCTAAAAGGTATTTCCGACAATATAAAACGAGCGTAACAACATAGCAACTCACAAATACACACAAATATCACTATCTTATGCTCTTTTACAAATTGTATTAAAAACGCCACTATTTTGCTGGCGTTGGTAAATGATTAAGTTATAGCTAAAATAATTCAAAGATATTTTACCCCTTCCTCAAAATCAGCAGCCTTAACCCTTCTATCATCTTTGCAAGCTGCCGTTTATGAAATTTTAGCAACTGATGTTGCCTTCCATGTCAGCCGTGCCTGTGATGGGATCATCTCACCAAAGCATTCACAGAGCAAATCCACAGTTCTCAAATTCCAGAGGGGCAGGCATTAATCTCCATGACAACACAGTCTCCTCTAATAGGTACTAGGACACACAGAAAAAAAGCATAGAGAAAAATCAAAATGACTCTGACTAAAAGTCTGCCACCAATTAGGTTGCTTGCTGCCAAGCTACGGGGGAAAAAAAACAAAAAAAACAAACACCCACAGCCACCATCAACGGGGACGACATAAGAACAAAAAGGAGCAGCTTAGCACTGGTGCTCAGAGACACGCTTACTTTCTGTGACAGCCTCGCTGTCTGTGTGTGTGTGTGCTTTTTCTTTTTTTTTCTCTTCTGTCTTTTTGCGTGCGAGAATGCGAGCACGGAGACATTTTTGCATGTTTGTCTGCATGTGCCTCACAAAGACGAGAGTTAATTAATGTGAGAGGTTGCTCAGGGAATTCTAAATTGAACAAAAGACATTGATTGCCGTGATTGCTGTAATCAAGCATCTCTCTGACACCTCCGAGCGGAGCAACACAAACACGGTGAAAGTAAAACAGGGGGAAGACAAGAGGTCCTCAGCAGGAAAAGAGAAATCATCCTCCTCTTGATGCGTATCGAGTAAGCCGGCTGACGAGGGAGGCAGCCAAAGCCGGCAAACCCAGACAGTCCACGTCTCCTGAAAGAGCCGCGGTTAAGCTGCTCAGCTGTCCCGGCGGCCCCGCGGCGTTCAGCGAGACGCAGATAAAACAAAGACAAAAAAACTTCAAGCGCCGCGGCCCTAAAATAACAGCTAATGGAGCACGGCTGCGAAATGCCATGGTGATAATTACCCAAACTGCCTCTCTTGGCCTCAGAGCCAGATCCCACACCCCGTGCAGAAGACGTTTATTTATAGATAAAGCATCTGACTAGTCCAACCCCGGTGTCACTGCTCTCCACAGAACCATTTCAAGGTCTTGTTCTGCACATGCATCTACATAGGCATGATGTGTTTGCAATTCTCTATACCTGGGCCTGAGTCTGAACTGAAAGGGACTTTTTGATTCCAGTTGTCTTCATTGTTGAATGACATCTTTTCCTAACATTGGAATAAAACATTTTGGTGACAAATAGGGGTGTGGGATCTAAATTCAGACTAATACCACTTGCCGTATTGGTTTTTAAGTAGAGGACAGCTTTGCCAACGGCTGTGTGTTCTTTTTTTTCATTCTACTCGGAGCTCATACTGCTACACTTAAGCTGCGGGCTTTTCCTCTGTTACCCAGACCCTCCTGCCTCTTTAGCAAAGATGAAAATGAAATGAAAGTTTCTCTTTTTTAAATAATGGATGGAGAAGGTATGCATACATGAATTCACGTTCCAAGACAAAAAAAGAAAAAGAAATGTCCATTCATTCTCAAACCAAAAAGGTGTTTGCTCTCTGTACCCCTCGTGCAGCTCCTGGTGAAGGTGAGCGACGTTCCGGACCTTTCTGCGGGCATCACGTGCTCCTTCGGCAACCTAACGGAGGTGGAGGGCCAAGTGAGCGGCAACCAGATCCGCTGCGTGTCTCCCGCCGCCAAGGACGTCCCTCTCATACCCACCGACCAAGGTACATGCAGAAAACACACAAATGAAGACTTGTTTGCTTCCACAAAAAGACACAAAGGGAGGGTGGGACGCTAGCCTCTCCGTTTCCCATCTATCCCTTCAATTTTTTCAAGCGGTGAGCCAACTGATTACCAGCACACAGTTTGAAACTGTATGGTAAACCAGGGGTTGTCCACCTAACAAGAACCCGTGGATTCAGAATCAGTTGTCACATCGGGAAGTGTGCTACAAACAAGACTGGAGCGCATTAAATCTGATGGAGGAGCTGACTGAGGTCCCATTACAAGTGGTCTCACTGCAGAGTAACAAAATCACTAACTAAGAGGAACATCTTTGCCAGTGAAAGGCTGATTAGAGGGCAGACTGACAGAGACAGAGCTAATGTGATGGATCACTCCACTTCTCAGTGGCCAAACAGTAACCAACAGTTTTTCTTCTCGTTCTGATAAATAGCTTTGGAAAAATGTGACGGAAAGAAGAATCCCGTTACGTGCAGGTGGAGCTCTTAGCCCCCAGAAACACATGCTAATCACCTTGTTTATACAATTCACAGGAAACGCATGACCTCTAAGATATTCCACCAGCATGCCAAATGCATAACGGGAGAATTTGACGGTGGCGTTCCATACTCTTTGTTAGCTAACATATGCCATATATCATTACGAATATTAAAATCTGTAGTTTGACGATAAATATGTCCTGTTTGCATGCCAAGATGGCTGCAGGGCGACTAACTAAATACCTTGAATAATATATCATATGTGGTGTGTGGAGACCAGTGTGTGTTTTAGGGGGTTTGCTAATCCCCCCCCTCCTCTGTGCAAATGGCAGTCATGTTTGCACAGAGCTCCCAACGGGGCTGGTGCATTAGGCGCTCATATAAATGTTCTCCCTCAGGTAAATGTCAACCAGTCCTCCCTTTAAGCCTCGCCATCATCCAGATAGCTATCCATCTAGCTGTTCGCACCTCCATTTTTTTTTTTTCATCCATTCCCCCCGGGGTCGCTTTTCGCTGACTCCCCCCCTGTATAACCGCCCTCTTGGCAATTCTTTCTATCAGTTGAAAAACAAACGCTGATGGCGTGCTGGCCATGACCCGAGGAGAAATTAGAGGATGAAGAGAAAAAAAGGAGAACAGGAAATGAGAATAGAGAACAGGGCAGAAATTAGAAATGAAAGGAGAGGGACAGATGGAGAGGTCAGCGCAGAGCTGTGAGGACACCGGGCTCATTAAGGGAAATAGCGGGCACTTTCCTCCACCGGTGGAGGCTTTATGTCGACAGGACCTGCAGTGGGCTGTCAGGTCCGGTGAGACCGGTGCGCAGGAGAAGAAGTCCGCTCCGAGTTAGGCTGCTTAGACCTTGCGTGAAGCAATCGCCGATTCCCAACAGGTGCTGTAGCACCGAGGGGTCACTCCAGACTCCTACACACTGAATGTCATCTGAAACTCCGCACGCACTTTTACGAAGCCTGTATCCTCAGGAGGGTAGGCCGGGAAAGCTTATTTCATGGAGCGCCGCCAGGAAATTCAAGCAAACACATTTCCATCCAATTAAATGGCTCGGTGTGACACGGGTATTTGCACAGTTTGTTTGATGTATCGTACATATTCGCCGGTGATTGTCATTCAGTTTGCCGGTGCTGTGTGCAAGACCACGCAAGAATCGTTGCTTTTGTGCTTTTCATGACAATTTGAGGCTGCGAAAATTGCGGCTGTGTATCTTAATCATCCCGGATTATTTTCAATTGTGATTAATCTGTGTCTTTGGACTAGACTTTTGAACACCTGCGGCGAAGCTTTGCCTCGATTTTAACAACAATCTGTTTACACTCGAGGAGAGCAGTTGCCGAGCCTCTGGGGGAGAGATGTTGTCTCATTCCGGTGCTGGAGACGATTCTAGCCGTCAAACAGTCCCTCGTCTTCTCGCTGATATTTTCTGAGGTTTCATGCACCTGTTGTTTTGTTTCGGTGAAAGGTCTGGACTGAAGCCAGGCCGGTTCTCAGAGATATTAGACCCCAGTAGCGTTGGAGATGTCTGATTTTGAACTTGCTGATAACATGCCAGATGGCCTCTGTCCCATTTCTTCCCTGACACTTATAATACCGCAAAAAAAAAAGTATTTTCACTTTCCTTTAGTCCATTTGGTGCTTTTGAGTGTTTTCGAATCACGCTGACATTTGGCTTCTTTGGAGGACGGAGTTCTAACCTGCATTTGTCGATGAAGCACACAATCATTTCTGAAAGTGTTCCAGATCTTTCCAAATTCTAACAACTTTTTGCTGGTGTTGTGTATTGTTGGTAATGAGAGACTCTGCCTCTCTAAGATGCTCGTTTTTATAACCACACATATTAACGACCCATTCCCAGTATATGTAATCAAGTTCTTCTTGTTGTTCCTTTTTGTACTACTTTTTTTGCCCCGTCCCTCTTGTTTTGAGCCAGATTTCTGCCCTCAGCAGTGACATTTCTTACCACAGATCACTTTCTCTTCATGCATTTTTAGACATCTTTCCAGCATTTTTCAGAAGTGTAAAAGTTTTATGAATTCATGGAAATATTTTTCATCTTTCAGATTGGTCCGGCGTTGAGCTGAGGCTGAACTCTAAGGAGACTGGACAGATGCTTATCAGCACCGAGATCAAGTTTTACAATTGCAGCGTCCACCAGCTGTGAGTATCCCTCTGAGTTTATTCTTTTTCTTTCTTTTTTTCCAACTTCTGAGCAGCCACCAAGACATGCCCACAACTACTGTGCTTTGGGGATTAGTCAGAATTTGCTCTCCCCTCATCCCCCCCTCCTCCCTATACCCATCCTATGTAAATACTAATACAATCTGATCTCTCCCAGTGCCCCATTATGGGAAGCATTTGCATTGTTGTGCTAATGAAGCCTTCTTCTTAGAACATGCTGCTCTACAAAGCGCGCCGCTCTCTGCTTAACGAGAACGTCAGTTGAGATTTCACACCCATTTTCATGCCACGTCTCTCCCCGATTGATCCTCCCAGATTTGATATTTGAGTGGCTGCAGTGCTTTTGGAATTCTTCCCTTCATTCGGCTTGTGTGTGATTTGGAGGCCTGGCTGACTTGGGAATGTGACCGAATGGGAAGAGAAGCGAGGGCGTTGAGGCAGTGACACTGTAATCACAGCGTATTACATTATCCTTTGACATTAAAAAAAGATGTTTTAGCCAATGGGCAGTGCTATTCTGAATCTCTCCCATCTTTCATTTTTATTCTTCTAAATCTTCTGCTGCCTGAGAGAACGCTGGCGTGGTGGCAGAGAACGCAATTACCAGCTCTCCCAAAACCTCTGTTACCCAGGGACAAAAAAATAAAATAAAACACACTTGCACGCGCTCAAACACACAGAGACAGATGCACACACTCGGAAAGGGGCTCAAGTGCGAACCCCTGCCCTCTTTTCCCCTCCATTTTTACACACGTGTCATACGTTTGCCTTAAAGGTGAGCCGGCCCTATTCTTCTACATTAGCGGGCTTGCCACAGATCCTTTCCATCCTTTTGCACCAATAAATGTTTTACGAGAAGCAAATTTCATAACTAGACCTTGCATAACAGAGGGTTGGAGACAGTGGAAGCCATTAGAGACAAAAATAAGATTGCTGAACAACTGCTCATGAGTGCGTGTATGACAGTGAGAGTACATGACATTACGATCAATTAAAGATGATTTGCGTTGTCTTTGCTTTGCCGACACAGAAAGAGTGCCGTGCAGTTAGGTTCTATTCATGTAACATCGGTGGAAAGTGAACTTAGTTTAATACTTACACAGCAGAGCTGTACTTCAAAGGGATGCGATATTACATACGCCGTCTTCACTAAATGTCAGAAGGAAGCAATCAGGAACCCTTCGTCCAAAGCATGTTTTATATGCCAAAAGTAAGGTTTTATTCTTGATTAGTTCACGCATGGATTTGTTCAGGAAGTATGGCGCATCCTTTTTGCTCGCTGAAATTACCTAGTGTACAGTACTTTTCGTTTCCTCAATTTGCTTTGTTCAATTACCATGCAGCAAAAATGCTTTACTGGAGTCTCAGAGAACCCACTGAGGCACACTGCTTTACTCTAAGTGCAAAAGGCCGATGAAGGTACCTCAGAGCCTCACTTTCTCCTTTAATTTTCTGTTTATATTGCAAGAGCTTTGGAGAGGAAACTTTTTTTTTTACGCTTCCCAAATATTCACAGCCGCTGGGTTTCTTTGGGAAACTTTTGTTGAAGTGGGGTCAGTCTGCAGATGGAGACAACCATCAATGCTCTAAATTTGTGAAATTATCTCTGCTGTTGGCTACTTGTCCATCTAAGGTGTAAGGGGAAGGACTTAACCCAACAGAAATGTCTGTATTTTTTTTCACAGTGTTTTGTTATAGCGTTTATTGGTTGCTGATCCTGTAAAGTACTTGGATGTGCAATTTATTTAAACGTGCTTTGAAAAAAAAAAAATAGAAGTTTAAATTGAGTTGAATTATTTATGAATTAATCTCTACTTTCCCTTAAATACATACTTCATTTGCTAAGGAATACCCTTCCTATTAATATAACCATTTGCTTTGTATTTCTGCGCAATTATCAATTTTCCCTGTGTCAAAAAGGTGAAAAGAAATTGTTGGAAAAACTCTTGATATTAAAATGTCGCCTTAACATCTACGCATCATTAACGATACTACATTAACAGAATGCTTAATTATGTCTCAAAGTCTCAGCTTGCACTGATGCATAATTAGTACATTTCATATTTTTGACGAGTACCTCTTTGTGTTATCTCATAACTTCACCTCTATCTGCGGAGACAATCTGGATACTGCTCGGACACTCGGTCCAGGCGCTGCACTCTCCGTACATACGGAGATTCAAACGCTGATGTCTCCTATTTTGCGCGTGCAAAACTCCACACATGCTCCAGCAGCTGGCAATTACTGCGGCACAATGCAGAGCTAATGGTAATTGCCGGATCAAGCTGTGCCAATGTTTTACTTGTCCTTATTACTCAAAGTTCTGCCTCGCCGTCTCACCCATAGTTTGATTGGAGTAACACCCACTAATATTCAGTGCTAGCGTTAATGTATGGCAGAGGAAAATGTAGGCGGGGAGAACTTGGAGCAGAATCTACTGATTGTTGTGCCAGCCACAAGGGCAACAGCAACAGCAGGTGCCCATTTTTTTGGATCTGAACTCATTTCCTTTGTGGCACTCTGCCCACTTTGGCAAACTGGCTGCCCCTGCTCTGACTCCTAACGGGTTGTTTTTTTATTTTTTGTTGTATGTGCAGGTGCCTGTCATGTGTGAACAGCGCCTTCCGCTGCCACTGGTGCAAATACCGCAACCTGTGCACCCACGACCCCTCCAGCTGCTCTTTCCAGGAAGGACGAGTCAACACCTCTGAGGTTAGTGGAACACACACACACACACGCACACACACACACACAAATCTTTAGTTTCCCCCTCTCCCTGCACCTTGCTCTGAGTTGCCGCGCTGCGTCAGCCCCCGGGGCACGTCGTCAGAAGAAGAAGACAAGGAAGCTCTTCTATTTCCAAAATGTCATTATGCATTCAGAGCTCTTGTTCTCGGCGGCAGCAATTAACCGTCTATTATCCCCAGAGTTATTGAGCTTAGC